ATGGTTCTTGGCTTTACTAACATTCAACGTTTTACTCATGGTTGTTGGTTAGAAATAATCCTGAATTTTGGATGAAGTTAAATTTTAACTGAATTTCATGAATTCAGATGGCCAACTCCAAGTTTCAGTATTATTTTTGGCAGTTTGGATTTCCAAAGTTCTTCTGGAGGAAAGAGTCCAAAGGCTATTTCTGCCTTAAATCAGCCTCTGCTGTTCCCCTGCTGTCCCACAAACTCTTAATTTGACTGCCAGTCCAGTCAAGTGCCACCCTTCCATCTTAGTTTTAGTAATTAAAGGAAGTGGCTCAGGCTGTTTTTTGGCCTACTCATCTCCACAGACAGGGGTGTCAGGAGCTTAACAATCCATTCTGCACAATTTGCATCATTAGCTGCCCTGTAGAATGCATTTTTTTGCAGCCTGGTTTATATTGACTTCAAAAAGGGATCCCGGCCGAACCATGGCTGATTACACTTTTCAGAAGTTCACTAATCTCTGTTGTAAGTTAACAAGTCTTGTTGTGGCAACCCAACTCCATTTTTGCCCGCATTCCCTTACCCTTTCACTTGGAGCCCCACTCCATGCTATTTTTTTTGTTAATACATAACTGTTTTCCGTAGGTCTTTGGTCCAGTGAAGTGCTTTCATAGGTCTTATTCCTCCTTTTCTTCTTCCAGAGGTGGATGGGTTCTGAAAGCTGTTGAGAACAGCACTGAGTAATGAGGTGGCACAGTTTTCTACAACATTCCTCTGTGGGTCTAGGGTGTGGTGCAAACTTGAGGTTCTTTTACAAAAAATTTACTTAAAGCCTGCAGATAACAGCCTCTAGTTAATAATGTAATTGTCAAATACAATTACAGTATTAAGAAGTGAATACTATATCTATATACATTATATTGCCAAAAGTATTGGGAAGCCTGCGTTCATACGCTCAAGAAATTTAATGGCATCTCAGCCAGTCCATAGGGTTCAATATTGAGTTGGCCCGCCCTTTGCAGCTATAACAGCTTCAACTCCTCAGGGAAGGCTGTCCACAAGGTTTAGGAATGTTTGACCATTCTTCCAAAAGCGCATTTGTGAGGTCAGGCACTGATGTCGAACGAGAAGGCCTGGCTTGCAGTCTCCACTCCAATTCATCCCAAAGGTATTCTATCAGGGTTGAGGTCAGGACTCTGTGCAGGCCAGTCAAGTTCCTCCTCCCCAAACTCGCTCATCCAAGTCTTTATGGACCTTGCTTTGTGCACTGATGCACAGACATGTTGGAACAGTAAGGGGCCATCCCCAAACTTGATTAAGGTTCTCTGGACTGGCCCACAATGTACTTGATGCCTATCAGTAATAGGACACACTGCATGTAGTACCACCATGCTAGCATCCCTTTTTATACCTGTAAAATTAAAAGTCCTGGTTTGATCTGAACGCCCCTTGTATTATCTTAAATTCCTCCAGGAAATAGCATGGCACTTCCTGTGCCTATGCAGTCCTATTTTGTAGCTATAGAGCTACATATCTATAACTGCACTAGATTGCCAAAAGTATTGGGACGCCTGACTTTACACACATATGAACTTTAATGGCATCCCAGTCTTAGCCCGTAGAGTTCAATATTGAGTTGGCCCGCCCTTTGCAGCTATAACAGCTTCAGCTCTTCTGGGAAGGCTGTCCACAAGCTTTAGGAGGGTGTCTATGGGAAGGTTTGACCATTCTTTCAGAACTGATGTCAGACGAGAAGGCCTGACTCACAGTCTCCTCTCTAATTCATCCCAAAGGTGTTCTATGGGTTTGAGGTCAGGACTCTGTGCAGGCCAGTCAACTTCCTCCACCCCAAACTCGCTCATCCATGTCTTTATGGACCTTGCTTTGTGCATTTGTGCGCAGTCATGTTGGAACAGGAAGGGACCATCCCCAAACTGTTACCACAAAGTTGGGAGCATGAAATTGTCCAAAATGTCTTGGTATGCCTGAAGAGTTCCATTCACTGGAACTAGGGGGCCAAACCCAACCCCTGAAAAACAACCCCACACCATAATCCCCCCTCCACCAAACTTTACATTTGGCACAATGCAGTCAGGAAATTTCTCCTGGAAGCTGCCAAACCCAGACATGTCCATCAGATTGCCAGACAGAGAAGCTTGATTGGTCACTCCAGAGAACACGTCTCCACTGCTCTAGAGTCTTTACGCTACTGCATCCGATGCTTTGCATTGCACTTGGTGATGTAAGGCTTGGATGCAGATGCTCGGCCATGGAAATCCATAACATAAAGCTCTCTACGCACTGTTGTGCTAATCTGAAGGCCACAGGAATATCTTACTATAGCTTATAATAAACATAAATAGGGAATGTAACCACTTCCCAACTGCCCTATAGCAGATAAACTGCTACAGGGCAGCACAGGTGCACACCCTACCTGCGCCGCCATTCGTCCCAGCCAGTGATTGCCAAGCAGCTCCGACGGGGAGGAGAACTGTATGTAAACAATACAGTTCTCCTCCCTGTCAGCTCATGCACAAAGATTTGGATGACTGTGCACAGTCGCTGATCGCCGCCATTACTAATAACAAAAAAAATTTAAAATAATAAATTCCAGTATCTATACCGCCATTTGTAAACGCTGAAACTTTCAATTAATTTACATGTATTGGGATTTTTTTTTTTTTTTTTAGTAAAGACACGGAGCAGAATACATTTTGGCCTACATTTATGCTGAAATTTTTTTTTTTAAATTTTTTTTACTGGACATGTTTAATAGCAAAAAGTCAAAAATATAGTTTTTTTCCTCAAAATTGTCAGTCTATTTTTTTCTTTATAGCACAAAAAATAAAAACCACAGAGGCGATCAAATACCACCGAAAGAAAGCTAAATTTGTGGGGAAAAAAGGAAGTAAATTTAATTTGGGTGCAGCGTTGCATGACCGTGCAATTGTCAGTTAAATTAACACAGCGCCGTAATGCAAAAAATGGCCTGGTCAGGAGGGGTGGGGGGAGTAAATCCTTAGGAGGGCAAGGGGTTAAATAAAAGTCTTCTACAGTATATGTCCCAAAAATAGAAAAGTAAAAATTATTTAGAAATCCAAACTAGTCCAGTTGTAGAGCTGTGGTCAAGTGAACCAATGCCTATCAAAACTGTCTACTTTGGGTTTGTACATTAGGCTTCAATGACCTCTGGTTAGGATTATGAATGGGTTAATGTAGAAAACCTCTCTCAACAAGATATTCACTTACGGGGAAAATCCTTTTGCCACTCTTCATAACACATCAAGTCTACTTTAAACAGTTTATTTAACCTGCTTATACTAAGGAACAGTTTTTGGAACAAAGATGATTCATATGGTTTCCTAGATTGTAAGCTCGAAAGAGCAGGGCCCTCGATCCCCTCATGTTTTTTCATTGTATTGGTATTGGTATTGTTCTATCACATGTTCTGTCCCCCTTTGTGATGTACAGCGCTGAGTGAACTATTGGCGCTTTATAAATACTGTATAATAATAATACTGTATAATAATATGGTCATTGCTTGATGGCTGCCTAGTGAGGTACATTGAAAGAAGGACTCTTAAAACTCTTGTATAGACCTACACTGAAAGTGTACGTTAGCTTACAGCAACTTCGCAAATACTGGATATATCAAGACAACAGTATAATTAAGACAATACTAAAAGGTTCACATTTTTTGTTTTAAAAATAACAAACTTGCTATACTTACCTCCCCAATCTTCTTCTTCTCAGGTCTCCCACTGGTGCTCCTGGCTCCTCCTCCCTGCTGAGTGCCCCCAGAGCAAGTTGCTTGCTCTGGGGGCACTCATGTTTGGGTTCATTCCCGAGCTGCCTCTGTGTGTCTATAAGACAAAGGGCACAGCTCTGCCCTGCCCCCTCTTCACTGGCTGTGATTGTCTCAGCCAATGAGGAGGGAGAGCCGCTGCTCTCATTCACATCGCTGGATTGAGATTAGGGCTCAGGTAAATATTGGGGGCTGAGGGAGCAGCTGCAAATTGAAGGTTTTTTTACCTTCATGCATAGGATGCATGAAGGTAGAAAACCTTCAGCCTTTACAACCACTTTAAGTTGGAGAGCCTTCCCTACAAAACAGAAACACACAATACCATTTTTACCAGGTTTACCATTGGCAATCCAATTCATCCCAAAGGTGTTCAGTAGAGATAAAGTCAGGCCATTTCAGTTCCTCCATACCAAACTGGTCAAACCATATCTTTATGGAGCTGGCTTTGTACAAAGGGGCACAGTCATGGCGGAACAGAAAAGGGCCTTCACCAGACTACAAAGTTGGAAGAGCACAATTATCTAAACCTTTTTTTGTATACTGTAGCATTAACTGTACCCTTCACTGGAAACCTTTGAACCCAATCATTTGGACCGGTCTCCACATTCATTTGACCATATAATGATCCTGCCACCATACTTTCTGACAAGGGTACTGAGGCTCACTTACTGTACAGTATCTATGGAGAGGAGTAGCATTGTCACTCTTCAGCCAGAGTAACCCTTCAAAAGAGCAAAGAACTGAGGCACAGGCGGAGAGACAGGTCTCCCCGGACCCTGCATTCTCTAAACCTGCTCTCCCCGACCCCTGCATTCAATATATCTGGTCTCCCCAGACCCTGCATTCACAATATCTGGTCTCCCTGGACCCTGCATTCACTTTATCCGCTCTCCCCCGGACCCTGCATTCACTATATCTGGTCTCCCAAGACCCTGCATTCACTATATCTGGTCTCCCAGGACCCTGCGTTCACTATATATGATCACCCACAGTACACACAAAATGGAGATGCAATTATTTTAGTAAATATAAACTGCCAAGTCCCTTTTCTCATCAGCAGTATATAGCAGTCTTATGACTTCTATCAGTGTCCAGCAGAGCACTGGTTAAAGCTTGTAGGAGGATTTTTAATTCTGCTCTAGAATGATGCAGAACCCCTGACTTCTGTCTGGACCGTACTGATTGACCCTGTGCTGATCACATGCACTCTCCCAAAAAAAAAACAAACAAAAAAAAAACCTCTCTAGCAATACACACCAAACTGAGCATGTGCAGAGTGTCTCCACACGATATGTCTTATCAGGAGATAAGAGGGGGACACCGGAAGAAGGGAAGGATCACAAAAGTCAGGATCAAACTGCATTTTTACACATTGCAAAGGATTAACCCCTTAGGTTCCACAGTGAGTGTAACAAGCATGCTTTACTGCATATACAGACTGATTTTACTGTTGTGGGTTTAGTAACACTAAGTATATATAAATTCAATTAGTAAAATCTTATGTACGTTTTTAGGTCAACAATGTCAAAAGGTTGTTTTCAATATGCAGCTTTGTATTAAAATAGCACGGGGATTCTCCCAGGTGGCATAGTTGCTCCATTCTCTTTTACAATTTCTAACTATCAGCTCCTGACATATGTTGACATTCCCAAAAGGACACAGGTACCATGGCACACAACTGGTGGGCATGCCTTCCCAATAAAGGATATTGGAAACCCATTTTACTGTATCTCTATATCACCAAGTGTTGGGCTCTTGGATCTCTAATACTTTCCAAACTACTTTACCATTTATCTTACCTGTTACCAGGGGCGGACTGACAACTCATGGGGCCCCTGGGCAATAGGGGATCATGGGGCCCCTGTGTCCTTGCCCAAACTCAAAAAAGCCTATGAAAAAGGTACCAGGGGCATCTCATGGGGCCCCCTACTGACCCCGGGCCCTCGGGCAGTGCCTGAGTTTCCAAATGGTCAGTCCGCCCCTGCCTGGTACCTTTACAGCGCCTAGAGCCATTATTCCTCACTACTGGAGGTCCCACCATACACCATTTTTAGAAAAATGGTGGATGGATTTAGATTCAGTTAAGTTTTTGACTGCTAACTGAAAAAAAAAACTATACAGTCACCTGGGGGAACGGATGGTCCTCAGGGTCACAAGAAATTTGAGACCTTCTTTGTACATGAGAGACGCATTGAGACACTGGTGGTGTCTGTTCTTCCCCATTGGAAATCTATTTTATCACCAAATGACGGGCTCTTGGATCCCTAATATTTCCCAAGCTACTCTACTGTCTGTTCTACTTTGTACCATGCAATCCATTTAAAAAAAATGGTCTGTCACTTCCATTTCAGCAGCCAGAGTCCTCATTCCTCACCACTGGCAACCCCTACATACACCATCTTCAGAAAACTGGTCGATGGTTTTAAAATCATGCCAAAACTTGCAACAACAAAAAAACGACACAATCACCTTGGTGGCTTGAATGGTCTTCAGGGTCTCAAGAATTTTGAGACCTTCTTTGTACATGGAAGATGCAATGAGGTGTGTCAGGGTCCTGTCCACAGCAGGAGTTCTGGCGTTTCTGCCAATACTCTACATGGCCGCAAAAGGACACATCAGCCTCAGTCTGGTGCCAGACGGCCTTTATAAGGAGACTCATCACTTTCTCTGGTTGCTGGATGATCTCTAGCTCCCCGTGGTTTGTTCCGGTTTCCTGTGACCTGCGACTTCCTGATTCCGGCTCGGCTTGTACTTGGAATTGTCTGCTCTACTGACCCCCCTGATCTGACCTCGGCTTGGCTAAAGGATACTCTCTCTCTCACTCCTCCGTGTATGACCTCAGCTTTCCCACCTGATCACATCTGCTCTGACTCCCACCCGGTACCTGACCTCGGCTCGAACTGACTTCCCAGTAAAACATCCAAATCCCGGAAGGCTTGCATACCACGCACAGGCGCCTCCAGTCTGCAGACCTATCTCCGTGCACCAGCTCTGCTTCTGAGTGGACCTCCAACCAGCACTCCCAACAGGCGACCTGTGCAACTTTGGGCCTGACTCCAGCTGTCCCACTCTCAGGGGAGTCCGGAAACTTAGTCGCAAGGGAAGCCCTCTCTCCATTGGCCTCCATCACCAGGTACGTGATAAGGTGTCTGTTCTACCCCATTGGGAACCCATTTCATCTCTATATCACCAAGTGACCATCTCTTAGATCCTGAATATTTCCAAAACGACTTTAAAAAAGCAAAAAACAAAAATATGTCACTTTCTTTGTGGCAGCCAGAGAAATTATCCATCACCACTGACAGCCCCAATAGACACCATCTTTAGCCGAATAGTTCATAGAATTAAAGTTAGATATGTAAATAGGTGTTTGATGGCCAAATCTTGCGACAAACAAAAACACTATACAATCATCTGGGTGGCTTTAGAATTTTGAGATGCAGTGAGACACTGACTGTTTGTTCTACCTCATTGTAAACCCATTTTATTTCTAGATCACCAAGTGTTAGGCTCTTGGATCCCTAATAATTCCCAAACTACTTTATTGTCTATCCTACTTGGTACCATGTAATCCATTAAAAATCCATAAAAAAATAAATCATCACTTCCTTTAAGGCTTCCTTTAAGGTAGAGCAGTTGTCCCTCAACACTGACAACCCCAGCATCCATCATCCTTAGCTTAATAGTTGATAGACAGAGCCAGGCAATCAAATTAGGTGTTTGATGGCCAAAGCTCTTGACAAACAAAAGCACTGTACAATCACCTCTGCAGTTTGAATGGTGTTCAGGGTCTCACAAATTTTGAGACCTTTGTACACGAGAGATACGATGAGAATCTAGTAGTGTCTTTTCTACCCCACTGGATATCCATTTTATCTCTATATCATCAAGTGACGGGCTCTTGGATCCCAAATACTTCCCAAACTACTTTACAGTCTATCCTTCCTAAAAAAAAAAAAAAAAAATCTCACTTCCTTTAAAGCAGCTAGAACAGTTATTCCTCACAACTGGCAATCCCAAAATACACCATCTTTAGCAAAATGGTTGATAGATTAGAGTTAGTCTTGCAAATTAAGAGTGTAGTAAACAGCTCAGTAAAGCGCACAACAAACAAAAACACTACACAATCACCTGGGCGGCTTAGATGACCTTCAGGGCCTCAAGAATTTCAAGACCTTCTCTGTACGGGAGAGACAAAATGAGACACTGAGGGTTTCTGTTCTACCTCACTGGAAATCCATTTTATCCCTACATCAAAAACAGGCTCTTGGTTTCCTGAATACTTCTAAAACTACTTTACCATCTATCCTACCTGGTACCATGAAATCCATAAAAAAAAAAAAAAAAAATACAAAATCTGTCACTCACTTTATGGTAGCCAGAGCCATTATCCCTCACCAGTGGCACCCATATACACCATCTTTAGCAAAATGGTTGATAGAATTAGATTTGGCCATGAGAATTGTTTAATCACTGGTGCTCGCAACAAACAAAAACACTACACAATCACCCAGTCACCTGGGCAGCTTGGATGGTCTTTATGGTCTCAAAAATTTCGGGACTTTCTTCATACATGAGAGTCGCAAAGAGACACTGGTGGTGTTTACTGGAATGGAGAGAGGGGGCCCCTACTATCCTAGGCTCCTTGCTGTCCCTATACCCTCCTATACTCCTGTAACACTCCTCCTCTTTCTTTGTGTTCTACACTTTTATCCTTACCTTGGTTACTTATTCCCACACCAGAACCCTCCCTATACCCCTCAGCCACCCATCATCCACAAGACTTCCCTACCCACCTCTCCCCAATATTCAACAAGCCATCATCTCCTGGCATACCAATAAGAAGCTCACCTATGGCTTCATCTTGTCCCTATCAGAGGGACAGCACTACCTGTCCTGTAAATACTTTCCTTATTCTCCTTGATGTTGTATTTCAGGCCTCTATGTACACCTGACGTTCAATAGATGTAAGGGAATTCCCGTGAGATGGCTGGCGATTAGAAATGCGCATGTGCACAGAAATGCGATCGCGCACACGCGCATGGCGAAGATTGGCGCCAGACGGACTATTTAAAGGGTGCCTCTGCCTGTACTGAGTGCTGACTGGTCTTCAGCTCTTCCCCATTTCCTGCTCGTTCCTGTGTGATTTCCTTGTTGCTGACCCGGCTTGTTCCTGACCTGACTCATGATTACTCTCCTGCTTGATACTCGTTCCTGACTTCGGCTCTGCTCCTTACTTTGGCTTGCTTATGATTTGGTACCTTGCTGTCCGCCCGTTGATGACCCCGGCTATTCCTATGACATTGCTCCTGTCTCCCATCCCAGCTTCCTTCTGGTGCACGCCTGGCGATCTACCATATCGGCTCTACATATCGCTACTCTTCCTGAATCGGTGGTCCATCAGCCTTTTAAGGACTCCAGCTGCATGTGCTGCAAACAACATCTGCTGGCACTCCTGTCCCCCTGGTCCCTTGACACCCTCTGTTCCACTTCCAGGGGGTCAGGGCTAGTGGCACAAGTGAGGCCAACCTTGTCATTTCAGTCTCCAGTCAGGAACGTGACAGTACCAGTCAGCCAGTGATGGAGTCTGAAAGGGAGGCCTCTGCATTGGGGGACATTTGCCAATCAATCTCTGCCTTGTCTTACATGGTGCAGAGTTTGAAAAAAAACCTTGATCACATGGAGAACCAATTACCAGCCAAGCCAGATGTTTCAGCAACCATGGGTCCCTCTGCAGTCTCAGCTATAACTACTCAGACAGAGCTCAGCATGATTTATGGAACTTTTCCTCTACCTGAACCCCAGGTGCCAATACCTGAATATTTTACGGGAGACCACAAAGTTTCGAACCTTTCGTAACTCCTGTGAGCTATATTTTTCTCTGCTACCAAGAACTTTTGCATCACAATGCACCAAAGTGGGATTCATTATTTCTCTCCTTCAGAATGAACCCCAATCCTGAGCACACCACCTTCGTGAGCAACATGATCCGGCTCTGACTTCTATGGACTCTTTTTTTCTCAGCCATGTCACAACTTTATGATGATCCTTTCCGTCATCAGACTGCAGAATTTATGCTCAGCAAGCTACAGCAAGGCCAAAGGCCTATAGAGGACTATGTGACCGAGTTCCATATACTGTATGGAGTTCTGACACTCAATGGAACGAGTCTGCTCTCCGCCATCAGTCTCTCCAACACCCTGAAAGATGAGCTTGCCCGAGTAGGGGTACCAACCATGCTAGAGCAACTGATAAACCTAGCCATTCAAATTGACCGACGGCTCTAGGGAAAGGCAGGGTGAAAGAACTAGCAGGGGTGTCTTGATCTGCTCTGAAATGGAGACTTCTGTCCCCTCACCCACTGCTGTCGCATCAGACATACTCTCCAGCAAAAGGGGGGCATCGTTATTCTCCTTGTAGGAGCTTTTGGAGACCACCTTTATCCTCTGCTGAACGTCTTCGACGACAAAACTCCAACCTCTGCCTCTACCGTGGTGATGTGGGTCACTATGTACTGACATGTCCAGTGAGACCTTCTAAGCCCTCTCCTAGCTGGTTCCATATGATGCACCCACAAGGAACGAGTCAAATACACCTCTCCTTCCTTCTTCACTTGCAACTTGCTGAAAGAACTATTACTGTTCTAGCAATTATAGACTCTGGTGCCTGTAGCTGTTTCATGGATTTTACCTTTGCAATCAATACAATAGCCCTCTCTGTACCAAAAAAACAATGATTTTTGGTCCATCTGGCTGATGGCTCTGGTATCAGTTCTGGCCCAGTGACACAAGAGACTTTGCCACTCATCCTCAGGACATCAGGAACTTCTATGTCTGGATGTCATAACCTCACCAATGGTTCTGAACATCCTCGGCATGCCCTGGCTAAGGGCA